GTATATTAGCCATCATTATTAACCACCTGGGGGAATTTCAAACCGGATTTGGAGCCTGGGCATCCAACTGGAGAGGTCTACTTAGGAGCGTCTTGTGAATGTGATTTGCATAACGGTTAAAGCCCTGCTGACGTCAAGGACGCCTTGCAGCTCCAGATCAGGTCTAGTCCTGGAAGTAGTTCCTGCCACACAACAGTCCCACAATCGCCCCACTAACCTTGCTTCCTACCCAACTCCTGAAGCACCGGGAAGTGAAACAAAGCAACAGAACCGCATGCCTCCAGCTCACCCTTGTCCCTCTCATCTCTTCCCCCAGGGCTCCACTTCCTCCTCCTCTTTGCCTTTCCATCTGTCCTTTAGGGCTCCCAGAATGGAGTTCAAAGGTGGAAATAGCATAGGGCAAATTATACAAAAGTGAGGTGAGTGCCCCTACTTCCACTGCCACCACCAATTTCCTTATTCTGTGTGTATCCACTGTATGTGGGGAGAGGCAAACCATTTCTCACTCAAACTGAGATTACATCTCTGATGCTGGAAATGTTTTATCCAAAGGGTGGATTTACCAGAGAGTCATATTTGAATCAGAAGTTTCACTGGGCAGTTTTGAACAGTTCTAAGGGAAGGGAGACCTCTGTTCAGGGTAAGTTTCTCAGAGGAAAGGATCAACCTCTTGGGGAGGCTATGGGAGCCATCTGTGTGGTCACTCATGGCCTCATTCTGACGTCCAAATTGTCCTGGGACCCTCCACTAGGGTTGGGGCAGCCCCAGATTTGGACCACCCTCCACTCCCACGCCTAACCTCACACTCTCAGCTGTTTCACTGATGTTGCATCAGGGAGGGTGATGAAATCAGTGTCAGCGGATTTTACCCATGGATGCAACAGGCTGAAGTACTGACCGGGGTCATTGACATTCTGCACCTTCAACTATCCAGAATTCCTGGATTTCTTAGCCATGGTGTAAGGGCTGGAATATCTAAGTTGGACTTCTAGCCCTTGCTTACACTGGTGTCCCAAAAGAACCATCACTTGCATCCCACAGAGTCCATGAACTTTTAGTTCACTAAGGTTGAAGAATCAGATGGTTCTTAACGACAACTCCCTCCTTCCAACAGCCGTCTGACTCTCCACAATGAGGCCTGACGCGGGAGAGCAGTAACACTTTATACAGCATTTATATGGCTGCCCAGTTCTCCAAGTGTCTTCATGTCCATTCTCTCCCAGTGAAAATGACAGTTACCAATGGAGAAAAAGAAGCCATCTTATTTTTATATTTTCAAATATGTCTTTATTGATTTTAGGGAGAGAAAGGGAGAGGGAGAGAAAGAGAAACATCAATGATGCAAGAGTCATTGATTGGCTGCTGCCTCCTGCATGCCCTCTACCACAACCTGGGCATGTGCTCTGACTGGGAATCGAACCTCAATCTTCTGGATCACAGGTCAATGCTCAACCCCTGAGCCATGCCAGCTGGGTGAGAAGCCCTCTTCTTTTTAGAGGACATCTGGTGGGAAAAAATCTTCATTCCAAACTGAGCTTGCCATCGTATTGGGAAATAAATGAATGCTTCTGTTTTGGTTTTTCCTCTGGCAGGCGGAGGTAAGGAAATTAGATTGGGGGGGATAGTTTCGAGAGGCAAAAAGATGAGGGAAAGGTTAAACAGGAAGGAACTTGAGACTAGATTCATTTAAATACTCATTGCTCCCACCCCATCTGCTGCTACAACCATTTCAATTCCTGGATAGCATTACACATATGTCCCATCCCAGGCCTCCAGCCACAGCAACCACACGAGTCATTTCCCCTGGAACTGAGGCTGCATACCTGGGCTCCCCACGGAGGGGGATGATGCAGGGAGGGGAATCCCACCTGCTGTGAGTCACCTACCAGTATAAAGGGCGGGTGTTACAATGCAGGGACATTAAAAAGGGACTCAGAGACAAGGAGAGAAAAATAAGGGAAGCAGCTGAGAACCTCAGTGAACAGAGGAAGCCAAACCAGAGACGCACAGAACAGAGACAATCAGGCTCTGAGCAAGATTCCACAGGGACTGGTGCAAGGCACAGAACCAGCCGGATTTGAGAAGCAGGCACCAAGATGCTGGGGAGCAGAGCTGTGATGCTGCTGGTGCTGCTGCTGCCACCCTGGACCACTCAGGGCCGCGCTGTGCCTGAAGGCAGCAGCCCTGCTTGGGCTCAGTGCCAGCAGCTCTCACAGCAGCTCTGCACACTGGCCTGGAGTGCACATCCACCAATGGGACATGTGGTGAGTGGCAGCCTCTGGGACTAAACAGGAGCCTCTCTAAGTTAAGGCTTCAGTGGAAGACTTGGTGGCCTTAAATGGAAGCTGGAGGGTTGAAGGTCATCAGGGAGTGAGAGAGGATAGGGAAATGGGGCTCCTGGGAGTCATGGGCCTAAGAGTCTATTTGGGGTTCAAAACAACATATTTTTATGCTTCTGCTCCATTCCAGGATCTACCAAGAGAAGCAGGAGAAAAGGGAGATGACAAGACTACAAATGATGTCCCTCATATCCAGTGTGAGGACGGCTGTGATCCCCAAGCACTCAGGGACAACAGTCAGGTACTAAGATGATGCTGGGCCACAAGGAAGAAGGGAATGGGGACATATCTGGGCACCATGGTGATTAGTAAAGTTGTATCTGTCCTTGTCCATTCAGCCTGCTATTAACAACATACCATAGACTGGGTAGTTTATAAGCAGAAATTTCTCACAGTTCTGGAGGCTGTGAAAAAGAAATTTCTCCAGGTCCATGCCGAAGTATATCAGGGTACCGGCATGGTTGGATGAGGGCCCTCTTCCAGATTGTATCCACAGGAGGGGCTAGGGAGTTCCATGGGTCTCTTATAAACTCCAATCCCATTCATGAGGGCTCCATCTTCATGACCTAATCACCTCCCAAAGGCCCCACCTCCTAATATCATCATATTGGGGGTTAGGATCTTAATGTTTGTGGGGATACAAACATTCAGACTATAGCGGTGTCTAGGAAAGGCAAAGAACTGGATGGGTTTTTGGTGAATGGAATAGGACAAGGTTATCAGTTTTCTTTCACTGCTTTTTCTCCCCAGTCCTGCTTGCAAAGGATCCACCAGGGCCTGGTTTTTTATGAGAAGCTGCTGGGTTCAGACATTTTCACAGGGGAGCCTTCTCTACTCCCTGATGGTCCTGTGAGCCAGCTTCATGCCTCCCTACTGGGTCTCAGGCAACTTTTGCAGGTATGAACTAGGGACCTGGAGGATGGCAGCTTGCAATCTCACAGACTGGGCCGGGGGGGGGCGGCGAAGAATATAGAGTCCTCTCTAATTGTGTCCTGTGTCCTTTCAGCCAGAGGGGCACCGCTGGGAGACCGAGCAGACCCCAAGCCCCAGTCCCAGCCAACCATGGCAGCGCCTCCTTCTCCGCCCTAAGATCCTTCGCAGCCTCCAGGCATTTGTGGCTGTAGCTGCCCGGGTCTTTGCCCATGGAGCAGCAACCCTGGGCCCCTAAAGCCAACAGCTTAAGGATGGCATCCAGATCTTCATGGCTAAGTAATGCTAAGATGAACCTATTAGCTCAGGCACCTATGAGCCAACAAGTGAATCAGTCCATTAATTCTAATGGGACCTGCATGTATTGAAAAATTACAATACTGGCAGACTTATTATGCTGACCTAGGACATGTTGAGTATTTATTATATGGGAAGGGAAAATTTGGGATTATTTATTCTATTGGTAGCAGTTTAAGGGGGAGTATTATTTATTATATTTATACTGAATTATGTACTTTTTTCAATAAACTTATTTATGTGGATATCTGAGTCTAATGTCTAGGTTTGGTTGGGAAGAAAGAAAACAAGTGAAAAAATAGGGACGAGGGACTACAATATGCAACATTCTTCAACTCTGCAGGGCTATGGTGGAGAATGTTTCCCTTCTGACCCCCTGGTGTATAGAGTAACTGGGATCTTTCTGGTCTTAATGCCTGTATGGCTAAGCAAGATGGAAGAGATTACAAGGGGATGAAATTAGAAAACAGGGCACCTCTCCTCTCTTGCTCCCTGACCCAGTGCCTCCTTCCCTGTTTTCATGGCCAAGAGTGTATTTGGCCAAAGACAGGAATCCCGATCTCTGCAGATCAAAAGTCAGAGCTGCTTGAGCAGGAAGGAGATTCCAGGAAGATAAAGGTAAATCCCCCAAACTAATGGGATTCTCCCTCAATGAATATCTGTGGACCCCTTCAGAGGGAGTTTGATTACCCAAAGGGAGCTAAACTACCTTTGAAAGAAAGAGCATGAGAAGGGGCTAGTGATTATTTCTCTTCCTTTCCTCCTTCACAAAATAAAAAAAAAGAGATGGGCTTTGGAATCAGACAGACCCAGGTTTAAAATTTGGCTTCGGCACCAACCGTTAGCTGAGGAACAATGGGGTAGTTACGTAACTACTCCACCCTACCCTCATATATAGCTTACATTCCCTTGGAAGAATCTAAGGGTCAGGAAAGGCTGCTCTAAACAGGAAAGTAAGAAGAAACATGACAAGAGGGGCATACTGGGGTGGGTGGAAGACAGGCCATGCTTTGCTGACCTTGATCCTACACTGCCTGATGGTGTCTTCAAGAACATTAGTCTTTGTGAGCAAAGAAGTAAAGAAGTTCAAAGAGGAAACACTTCTAGGTCAGCACAAAGTTTATTAGCCACTTCTGCTCAGACGGGTCTCTTTCTGAACAGTACTGTTCCTCTAACACAGAGATTTTCAACTGGTACGCCACAAGAATTTTTAAAACATGCAATACCTTAGACTGTCAAATAAAAAATGACAACAGCCAACACAATAGCCATCCAGCGTGAATGAATCAAAATTATGCCTATTTTTGGTCAGATGGGCAAAAAAAATATTTCTAGGTGTGTTACAGAATTTTAGTAATTAGCTTACATGTGCTATGAGATGAAAAAGGTTGAAAATCACTGCTCTAACATACCAGGCATGAAACAGCTACATGTAGAGGGCCTCACTTTCATTTACATCTCAAGTTTTACTAGTAGCACACCTTAGAGCAATAGCAGTTGTCCTGGGGTTCCCTGGGAATGGCTAAGGTGGGAGGTTGTCCAGAGCTCCATGATAAACCTTCAAGGTTCTAAGTTAGGAACTTGATCTTTGTGCAGGTCCGTGCCCAAAGAATAGAAACCATCTTTTCAGGTAAACAATATATTGTACAAAAGAAAGGGATGATATCTTAATAGAGAAATATCTAAGACCCAGGGCGTCTTTTCCTCTGTAAAAATACCATTCTATCTATACTATAAAAAGCAATTCCTAAATTCCCAGCTAGTATACATCCCTGGTCTCCTAAGCATTGGGAAAGTGGAGACTAGACAGGGTACGTTATTGTGCAAAGCTTCACAGGCACATTAGGCTGGAAGAATGTTTTTCAGGGGAGGAATGGGTGTGGCCAGCTTGGGGGGGGCAGTGCAGGGGAGGATACTGGTAAGAAGAGGAGGTCTACCTCCTATCCTACTCTCTTCCTCAGAGGGAAGCCTCATATGGTAGCCGAGGCAGAAAGCTCTCAGTCCTGGTGGGAAAAGAGGAACTTTATGACTTGAATCAGGAGTGAGAGGAGGAAGAAAGGAAAAGGTTGTCCTAGATATGCAGGAGAAATGGAATCCTATCATGTGTCAGTACCCCACTGAGAGCCAATGCTAGTGGGCACCAAGTTAGTCTTACCAGCTATCAAAATGTTGAAATCCTTCCATACTGGAAAGAAGCGACTTCCCCGGGCCCTCCAAGTATACTCTAACTGTCCTGGCCTGTTCCTAAAACTGCTGCACCTCCCAACACAGCAGGAAGCCTCCAGGATCCTAGTTAGAGCTATGGCCAACATCTGTTCTGATTCACTGGTGCCCCTCCTTACCTTTATTATGCTTGATCCTTTCATTCCAAATCACAGGGATAACCCAGGTTAGAAGGGGCACATGCCTGATTCCCCATCCTTGGAGAGCAACATCACAACGTGGGGATTAGTAGGGGTAAAAGATATGGGAAGAACAGAGGAAACGTAGTTCCTAGTAGTCAGAAGGAATCAAAGACGCATCTGTGATGAAATGGCTGGAATGGAAGAAGCAAGCCTCATCCTCGGTGTTCTGGCCAGCTAATAGTGGGTCTCCATTTGGCATGATTTCTTCAATCTTCATACTGTTTCTGAAGACTGGGTAGTCCAGAGAAAGAAGAAGTCAGACCTTGATCTTAGGTAAGGAGTTCCCAGCCCAGCAAGGAAAGTGAGGGAGGCGGCAGTAGCACCCTGGACAGGGCCTGAGGGGGCACTTAGGTGGAGGAGGGGTTGGGGTGTACATTTCCTTATAAAAGGAATCACAAGGAAATGAGCCTCCTCTCCAAAGAGGAACTTAGATCTGGGCCTTTTCTGTAATGGGAGGGAAGGGAATTGGGAAAGGGAAGGTATCCCCTTTTCCCCAGCCCCATCCCATCACTTACTTTCCATTTCCTCAGTGTTCAAGTGTCTCAGATCATGGGGCAAATCTGGCTCTGGTTCTGGCACTGACTGTGAAAGAGGCTCTAGAACAGGCTCCAGCTCCAGTTCCAGTCCCAGGTTTGGCTCTGGCACTATTAGTGATACCATGCTGAATGTGGGCTCCAGCGTGGGCTCCAGCGTGGGCTCCAGTGGTGGCCCTAGATCCAACCCTGTCTTTAGCAGTGGCTCTAAACCCAGGCCTAGCCCTGGCTCTGGTCCTGGTGGCAGCTCTGATGGATCCTCTTCTAGCTCCAGATTAGGCTCCAGCGGTTGTTGCAGCTCATCCGTCTGTCTGGAAACCCCAATACAGACAAAGGGGGAGGACTCAGTTGTTTAGGTAAAGTGGGGAACGGTAGAGCAAGCAGAGGCTACTTCTCTAGTCTAAGAAGACAATAGAGTAGAGGGCTTAAGGGCACAGGCTTTGCTCTGTCCTGGCCGAGTAGGTCAGTTGGTTAGAGCATCGTCCCAATATGCCAAGGCTGCAGGTTCAGTCCCTGGTCAGGGCACATACAAGAATCAAACAATGAATGTATAAATAAGTGAGACAACGAATTGATGTTTCTCTCTCTCTCTCTCTCTCTCAAATCAATTGGAAAAAAAAAATAGAACACAGGCTTTGCAGACGGGCGTGCCAAGGTTTGAATCCTATAGTTTATTAGCTGGGTGGCAGGCATGTTAACTAACTTCTCAGCCTCAGATTTATCATCTGTAAAATGGGAACAACAATACTTAATAGTACTTGAGCCCAGTCGGGTGTGGCTCAACGGCTGAGCATCGACCTAGGATCCAGGAGATCGTGGTTCAATTCCTGGTCAGGGCACATGCCCAGGTTGCAGGCTTGATCCCCAGCAGGGGGTGTGCAGGAGGCAGTCGATCAATGACTCTGTCTCATCATTGATGTTTCTCTCTCCCTCCTCCCTCTGAAATCAATAAAGATATATTAAAAAAAAAAAAAAGTCATGACTTCACTAGAAATTACCTTTAAAAAATAATAATAATAATACTTGAGAGGCAGGAGGATGGTTAAAAGCAGGGCTTTGGAATCTGACAGACCTGGATCATTTAGTAGCCATGTACCTTGAGCATGCCACTTTACCTCAGTTTCCTGAGGTTTAGCTGAAAACAGTAATAACAGTGTCTGCCTTACAGGACTATTATGAAGATTCAATAAATGAAAAAATGAACATAAAACTTTAGCCCAGTGCCTTGTACATAATAAACTTTCATTAAATGTTCCTGTAAGTATTACCTACTCATATGGATTAAATTTTTTTTCAAGTGTTCTAAAAGTATCTAGTGCCACATTTGGCATCAAACAGATGTCCATTAACATCAGTGATTATAATTATTATTATCAGGGAACCCCTGTGGAGACAACCTAAGGATAGCAGCAGGAAAACAGAAGAGAGAGACTAGAAGAGCAGGAAAACACCTAGAGGACTGAAGAGTGTGGGTCAGTAGGAGAGAAGGCCAGGGAGACTGGAATTCGGCAGGTTCGGTTCACTATGTCAGCCAAAAAGGGTTAGGGAGGATGGCTGAAGAGTTCACATCTCACCTGTTAGAGACCACAATGAGCTTATGTTTCAGGTATTTTCTTCGTTCCTCAAGATTAACTGTGGGGGACATACACAGAGGCAGTGAGGTCAGTGATGGGACACAGACCGCTGGTCATGACAGTCATTTTTCCTTATTAACTAGCAGTATCCCACAAATGCCTTAACTTCTCTGGATATTGGTTTTCCCATGTTTGTAAGGAAGGATTTGGATTTGTGGATGCCTGCAATCTACCAGTGAAGTATGTCAATGACTCTCACCTTTGTCCTCGTAGTAACACCCAAAAGCTTCATCCCGGGGGATTCGGGGGTAGAGGAAGCATAGTGGGTTCTCGGGTATGTTCTCCTCAGTGAGCAGCTGGTAGTGGCGGATGATTTTGGTCAGTGGTAGTGACTGAAGCACGTCCTTGGTGAAGGGCTTCACAGAGTAGATGAGCACCTTATCTGCAGAGTGGATATAGGAACAGGCAGGCTTGAGAGAAGAGGCTGGGCCTGGGAGCTCCCCACCCTGCCTGCGCAACCCCAGACCTGCTGAGGGATTCAGGACAGAGCCAGGGAAGCCAAGGACAGGCAGAGGGGCGGAAAGGAGAGGCTGTGGGAACAGCAGGGCAGAGCAGCTGACCATCATCCTGGTGTTCCACCCAGGAGCAGGTAATGCCACCTTCCGATGTTTCACTGAAGCGCAGTAGAAAGGTACCAGAGATGGTCTTCTTCAGCAACTTGCGCTCCTGGCTCCGGCTCACAAAGCCCATGATGCGTCTGGACCAGAGAAAGCAGCTGAGAGGACCTCCTACCCCCCAGCTTCCTTGGGTAGGGAGAGGGTGCTAGGTTTTTGCCCTGGCTCTGCCACTTACAAACTGTTCCATTGTGGCCAAGTCCCTTCACTTCACTGACAATATCCACTTCCCAGGGTTGTAAGAGGTATGAGGATTCAGTGAGGTTATATAGATGAAAAGCACCTTATAAAAGGCAAAGTGCTGTACAAATGGGCAGAAAGGCCTGGCTTTGAATCACAACTTGGCCCCTTGGTTAAGTTCTTTAATTTCTCTGTGCCTTCGTTTCCTCACTTGAAACGAGGGTGGCAAAACCCACCACTCAGAATGGTTGTAAGGATTACATGAGAGAATTCATGAAAGCACCCAGCAGGCTCTTGATCACAATAGATGCTTGGCAAATACTGGCTCTATTACTGCAAATGTGAGGGGGTATGACCTTGAACCAATTTTTGCTCTCTCTCCCTATTTGACACATGAGGGTGCACAGAGTCTGCTCTCAAGCCCAGAAAGGCAGCTGGGCCTAGGGAGAGGGAGGCTGACCAAGGTCTTACCCATCCTTCCAGAGATCCTTCAAGTGGTCATGTACTAGGTCCAGAATTTTGTCTAGCCATGTCCAGAATGGTAGCTTTCCAGGCGGGCTCTCTCTCTGAAGGAGGAATGGAAAGGCAGGAAGAGATATGGAGTTGCCCCGTGGGGAAGGAGTGATGGAGGCGGGGTGGGGTTTGGACTCCGCTAGCTTCTAGCTGCCCAGGATGCAGGGCGTTACCTTAGTGAAGTCAGCCCACGACAATGATGGATTCTCATTCCCAGAGTTCTGCCCTGTAGGCAGACAGACAGTTAGATGATGGAAGGAGGCAAGGGCACGGAAAGGACAGAGGTCTGGGGCTGAGACAAAAGGAGGTCTGTACCAAAGAGCTTGTCCTTGAGCATGCTCAGCTGGTCCTGGTCGAGGCCTCGGTCAACGTAGGAGGAGAACTGCCAACTGAGAGCAGGGCCCAGTAAGTTCCAGGGGGCCTTGGGGGGGCTGGAGAAGAACTGCTGATTCTGTAGGTGTGGGAAGAGGACAGGGTGGCTCAGAGCGGTATTCCCACACCAAGCTTCCACACTCCTCCTCACCACCCTTCACCTATTGGCCCCACCTCCTACCTGAGGGTTTGAGCTGAGCAGATTGAACCAGAGAATTGAGGCCCAGGCAATTGAGAGTTGATTCACATTAGAAATAATCACCACAGGGAGGGTGTCCGTCTGGGGAGAAGACAGGAATCACAGAGGAGGTTGTGATGATTCTAGCTGCAGACATTTGGTAGAGGCAAGGGGTAATATTTCACCCTGAGAGGTATCTGTTTAACCCCTCCTTATGCCTTCTCCCAAATCTGCTTCATCTCTCCCTGCCCTCCATTTTCACTCACTTGCAGCTCCTGCTTCAGACCCTGGTAGGTGTATTTGACCGTGAAGCTGATAATGTGCAGTTCCTCTGTCACACCCAGCAGACCCTGGGACAGCCAAAGACACAGCGATCAGAGGGGACCTTTGGCATGTTCCTCCTGCCCCCGAGTCCTCTGTCCAGGCCTCACCTTATTGCTGCCCTTTCCTGAACCACCTGAACGTTGTTCCAACAGAGTCTGTGAATTGAGGGGAAAGAGAGAGAATGCCAGAGGAGGGATCACAGGGTCCCTGGAACCCCTGTTTTGCCCTCAAGACTTCCCAAGGCCTAGGAACTTGCCCCAGCCTGTTCCCTTGTACTAGAAATATAAGCTACTGGCCTCTTACCAGGTAACCAAAGTCCCAAATTAAGCCTTGACTCTGCCCTTTCTCAGGGGTCAAAGTTTTCTGGTTTGAAGTCAGAATGTTGAATTTCCGGAAGCTATTCCAGGAGAAAGAAAATATATGAAGGACAGAAACAGAGTTATTCTAAAACTCAGCAGGAAAACAACAAAAGTAACACTTCATTCAGACCTCTCCATCTCTCTCTGCTTATATGCCACCCAGATCAACCTCTCCTGTGAGTGTCCCCATCAGGGCTGCCGTATGTGGTTGCCCAGCTCATGCAGGGCATGAAGGTTTGCAAAATTTTTGTCAAGTACCTACCCTTGTGATTGAGGAGGATTCCTGAAAAGAAAGAGAAAAAAATCATTGGGAAGAAAAACAGTATAGAAATTAGAAATTTGGTCTTTGGGATCAGACAGACCTAAGTTCAAACCCAGGTCACTAGCTATGTGGCCTTGCACAACAGCCGTCATCTCTCTGAGCTTGTTTTCTTGTCTGAATGGCATATTGATAACAGCTAACTCATGGGGTTCCCAGACAATTATTGATAACAGCTAACTCATGGGGTTCCCAGACAATTAAATGAGTATTTGATAAGCTGCATGTCACATAGCAAGTGCTCAACAAAAGGGATAAGTTATTATTTCTATGAGGTAGAAATGAAAGGGGGAAGATCACAGTCCCAGAACCCTGTTGTGAAAAGGAGGTGTCTCCTCTGCCCCACCAGCCCACATCCTGGGCACTCCTTGGTCCCATCTTTCACCTGCTCCAACTTACCTGTCAATAAAGACTTCGGCAGTCAGTAACTCACTGCCTTCCTGGAGTCTTACCAGAAGCCTGGGGAGAAGAGAGGTAAATGGGAGAAAGTGGTCAACCTCAATTCCCTGGATAGACTAGATGTTTGAAAAAGATAAGGGAAGAGATTAGAAGAAGTAGGTTAATTAAGGGGGGAAAAAAGAGGTAAAACAGCCAAGAGTGGGAATATCTGTAAAGCCAGAAAGTGAACAGTGCCAGGACTGGAAAAAGGAATCAGGAATGAATTCTGAAATGCCAACCTTGTTCGGACAGTGAACTTGCTCCCAGTCCTAAGGATGAGGGGTCGATGAGGAGTTTGAGGCATATAGGGCTGGGTTTCTATCACAAAGGCTCTGGGAAGAAAGATGTGAACAGAATATATAGCTCGGCATCTGTAAGAATGGCTCCCCTTGTTCCTTCCCTCTGCCCTTCTAAAGGTCCCTCCCTGGCCTCTAAACCTGTGGAGCAGACGCTGTAGCAATTCTGTAACCTGGGCCTTCTGCAGATCCACTCCTTTGGTCAGAGGGTCATTCTCATAGCTAACCAGGTTACTCAGTTCTTTCAGTTCCTTCAGTAGCTGCCGCAGATGAAACAATAGCTTTGCTCCATCTGTGAACCTGAGTGATAGAATCCAAGGGAGAGAGAATCCATGAGTTTCCTGGAGCCCCCAAACAGGCTCTAAGAGCTCCCCTTTAACTATGCGGAGAATTAGAAACTGATTAGGACAAAGAATCCAGGAAACACTGATTATTCAACATGATTCATAATCCAAGAAATGAAAATCAAAGCCACTTTCATGTAAAAAGTGGTAAAAGATTAACATAATAAAGCTAACTTTCATACGACGCTTGATATGTACTATTTACACGTTAATGCATTTAATCCTTACAACAACCCTGTTTAGTAGGTACTGTTATTATTCCCATTATACAGTTGATAAAACTAAGGCACAAAAAGTTAAGCGGCTTGCTTAAGGTCATAAAACTAGTAAGGAATAAAATTGTATGTAATCCCAGGCAGTCTGGCTACACAATTCATACTTTTGACTTCTATACTTTACCGTCTCTATAAAAAAAGTAATAGTAGGCAATGTGGTGACAGGAAAAACAATCATACACTATATATAAAAAACAAATTGGGATAGCAGTTTGAAACTATTTTTTAAAAAGCCTGAAAAATGTGTATAAATTTTATAGCATTCCATTTCTAAGATACATTCTAAGAAAATAATCAGACAAACGGACAAAGACAAATGTACCAGAAAGTTCATAGCTTTGTTATTTGTAATAGAAAAATTAGAAATAATTGATATTAGGTATATAAATTATGGCATATTCACATCAGGAAATACTATGCAACCATTAAAAATAATCATACAGGCTCAAATATTTACATGGAAAAGTCCAAAAATATTAAGTTTTTTAAAATTACAAGATAGTACAGATATGATTTCACTTCTGCTTAAAACAGATGTATTTTTGTGTATATGCATAGGGGAAATATGGAAAAAATAAGCAAAAAAATTAACAAAGGGTAACTACCTCTGCATGATCAATTATACAGATGGATGATTTTTACTTTCTTTTCTCTTTTAAGTTGTCTGAAATTTTTTCAATTGGTATACATTGTATTTATAATCAGAAAAAAGCAATAACACTCTTTTTATTAAACACAATGAAACAAGGCGAGCTCTCACTCTGGGGAGCATGCCTGTGCCTTTCCCTTACCCCTCTTCTTTTCCCACAGGCGTGCATCTCCTAAACTCTAAGGGACCCCATGAGACCTGTAACCAGGGGAGCAATGGGCAGAGGCAGCTCATCCAGGGCTAATCCCCTGAGCCTGTCCCCAAGGCCCCTTTTTCTCTGACTCTCCAGTGAGCTGACAGCAACCCTGCCTTGGCTGACTTCTTTCCTATGTTTCTAGAGAGCCAAAGCAGCCCTAGGCTCTCTCCTGTTGCTTGTTTTATCCTAGGCTTTTTCTTGTTTTACTGTCCCTAGATTTTACATACTCTCAAAATAAAAAATAAAAAATTTAAAAAATACAATGAGCCCAGCCAGTGTGGCTCACTTGGTTGAGTATCATCCCATGGACCACGAGATCTCCAGTTCAATTCCAAGTCAGGGCACATGCCCAGTTGCAGCCTTGATCCCCAGTGAGGGGCATGCAGGAGGCAGCCGATCAATGAATCGCTCATTGATTTTTCTATCTCTCTCTCTCCCTCTCCCTTCCTCTCTGAAATAAAAAAATATATATTTAAAAAAAGAGAGAGAAAAAAGATGTAGCTATGAGGTTATTTAAATAATTTAAATACTGATCATGTATCTGAAGCCCTATATACCTGTTTTCAATTTATCTGTATACATATATATATATATATATATATTAAATATATATATATTTAAATGTTTTTATTGATTTTTGAGAGAGAGGAAAGGAGAGGGAGGGAGAGAGAGGGAAACATTGATCAGTCACCTCCTGCATGCCCCTCACTGGAGATCGAGCCCCCGACCCAGGCATGTGCCCTGACTGGAAATGAACCAGCAACTTCTTGGTGCATGGGACAACACTCAACCAACTGAGCCACACTGGCCAGGGCTACCAGTATATTTTTAGTTTAAATTATAATAAATTTCCTCATAAGGAAATATTTAAAACAGTATTTTTCAAGTGTGTTGAAAGACATATTCCTTTTTTCTTACATCACAATAGAATTAATATAAAATAAAAAGTTTACTGGAAAAATAGCAAGAAATTTAAAACAACCTAAATGCTTAAGTTGTCAGAAATTAATTGTAAACATCAGTCCAGTACTCAGTCATGGCAAAGACCAATGTCTTAAGATAAATGGCTCCTATTTTGGTGCAGTATTTGATGTTCAAAACAAAATGTTTCAACAATAAACAAATGTAAGCTGAAAAAAAGAAAATAAAAACCTAAATGTCCAAAAATAAGAGTTCATTAATTAAATTATGTTACCTCCATATAGGGAACTATAACGCAGCCATTCAAGGCAACATGGGTGCCCAGTGGTTGAGCATTGACCTATGATCCAGGAGATCAAGGTTCAGTTCCCGGTCAGGGAACATGCCTGGTTGCAGGCTTGATCCCTAGTAGGGGGTGTGCAGGAGGCAGCTGATTAATGACTTCCTTATCATTGATGTTTCCCTCTCTTCCTCTCCCTTCCTCTCTCTGAAATCAATAAAGACATGTTAAAAAGAAAAAAAAAGTAACATGGGTAAATATTATAATATACTGCTAAGTTAAAAAAGAAAAAAAACAAGCCTACATATCTCCAAATAGTATGAACAGCATGATTCAATTTTTGTTTAATGTTACAGTAGCTACATCTGGGCAGTAAGGTAATAAGTAATTCTCTAGTTTTTGCATTATGTTCACTGCACAAACAAAAGAAGTATATTTCCCAGGTGATTAAAAATGAAGGGCTCTGGGCTTCCTGGGTAGTGTGAAGAGCAGAGTGCTATTGTACAGAGATAAGGGAGCCGAGACCATTCTGGGGAGCAGAGATTAAGGAGAGCAATACCTCTTGCCATATACAGGGCACTATAACTTACAAAGCATAGTGGGGGCTAGGACTATGGCTGGGTGAGCTTAAGGGCAGGGAGGTGCCTCTTACCACTTCTCTAGCTGGAGAAGTCCCAACCCTCCATCCTGGGGCGCTCCAATGCAGGCTTTCTGCTGCTGGGCTTTCCACTCCTCCAATTTGGGCAGCAGTAGCTCAACTAGGGTAGTTAATCGGCCTAGCAGTGCTCTGGAGGAATCCAGCACCTCCTAAGAAAGGCATAAGTGAGTGTTGAGCACCTCTCACCATCATCCTCTACCATCCAACCAGGGATAAGGGGACGAAGAAGCCAAGGCTAAGAGGCCAGGGTTCCCAGGTTTCATTTTCCCCAGTTCCCTGCTGCCCACTCCCCCTGTCCTTTGCCTCCCACCTTTCTCTTTTTGTCCAGTTCATTGAGAGTTTCCTGCAGAAGCTGCTGCTGTCTGGTCTGACGAGGGTCCAAAGGTGTCCTTACTGGATGGCAGGAGCAGAAAGTGAGACAACTGCTCAGACCCAGGGCTCCTACCCCTCGCCTTCCTGACCGGGACCTCAGTCAGAGTTAGGAAGGGGGAATTCTAAAGGGAGAAGAAGGGGAACCAAAGCAAAGCACAGGCACCTCTGGGCCCTCAGGTAAATTCTCAATGATCATGCTTGGAACAGAAGCCTACTCTGTCTGCTAAGGCAGTTTCCCATACATCAACTCCAACATTCACTAGCTGACCCTCAGCCACACCTCCAGCCCAACTGCCACAACATACCCTGGCACCTCTAGATTTGCATGGCAGCAGGACTAGAGCCAGCGAAGTGTAGCCAAAGGTGATTACTGTTTCCTAGGGCTTTTTGCTTCTGCTCTCTTCTACCCTTGGCCTTCCAACAGGGACCTGTCTTTCTCCCACCCTTCAATGTGCTTCCTACCTGGGGCCTGAGTCTTATATCGGAAGCAGAAGACATCCTGCTGGTCTTTCAGTTGGCTGATGGATTTCACCAGCTTCTGTAGCAGGGATGAGACCCAGATGAGATTGCTTCTGTGGGAGGAGGCAGGTTGAGTCTTGCCCACCCTGACTCTTGCCACATCTACCAACCTCCATCATAGCCCTTAATTCCAGGATCCGGGATTCAATCTCATGCTGCTGGCTCTGTACAGGTGCTTCAGTGGCTGGCTCTTCTTGCTCCTGAAATAACAGGCTCTGAGCACATTCAACTCTCACCTTTCATCCCTAAAATCCAGGCCTGAAATTATACAACAGGCTATTAGGGGATCTTATTCTGAGACAAATTTCCTGAGTCCTTTCCATGGTCCCTCTCTACTCCAGGAGCTTTCAATATCACCACAAATTGTTCTCACCACTTGAGCCCTCTGAGCCTGGATCAGAATTCTTTTTTCTTCCAGAAGGAGATTAAAGATCATCTCAGCCAATTGGATAGGGCCCTGGGGAAAGGCCTGCAGGAGGCAAAGAGGACTGATTGAACTCAACTGCCTTCAAGGAACCTTACCCTCAGTGACTCAGTACTTCCCCCTCCTTCAGGGTCCCTAGCCCTTCCCTTTGTCACCACTGGTCCACAAACCCTAGCCTCTTCCCAACAGGTTCATCTAAACAGTGACCTTCCCTCTGCCAGTGATCCCCTAAGTCCAGACTCTGTTCCTCTTTCCCCGATCTGCCCATCCATTTGCACCTCCAGGTCCTGTTCTATACCCCAAACCGTACTCCTACACAGCTGCCATTCCTACTTTGTTATTCCCAGCTGCTCCAAGTACCTGAATGTCCCGATAGAATTTTCGCAAATTATGCTGTAATAATAAACTCTCAGGGTCCTGGCTGCAGCGGGAACATTGATAGTTTAGTTGGTCCAAGAAGTGGAAGAAGAGCATGTTAGCCTGGGAACTATCATTGCCCAATGCAGCTTCCTGCCTGGGGATCAGGAATGACAAAGATTAGTATCTCTGCAGGATTGCTACTGTCTTGAGGTCTTCTAACCTCTTCCCGCCCTTGGTGTTTCCAGGATCCTAGGGACTCAGGAGAAGGAAACCATTTTTTGCATCCCCCTCCACCCCCCATCTCTCTGAGGGCATCACCAGTTCTGGTCTTCAATCCAGTCAGCCAAGTACTGTCGGACGTCCATTGGCAGGAGGCTATTTGTATAGAGCTGGTGCAGCTGATCCTGAAATGGGCTGTCGAGGTTCTGCAGCATCTCCCACTGTGCCATTTGGGATCTGAGTTTGAAGGATTCAGGTTTCCAACTGTAAATTTTGCTGGACTTAATCATCCACAATCTCATGATAGTTTATTATTACAAATTAAAATTTTTAAAATTATACAGGTAAGAAAAAAAGGGGTGTCTAGATTGACTCCACTCCCAATCTCCGCCCCTTTCCCTCACCTCCGGAAACCAATATTATTAGTTTGCTATATATTCTTCCAGGGAGCACTATTTAAGAGCTCTAATACATGGGCCTTTTTGTTTTAATGGTAATTTTCAAACATACACGAAAATAGAGTGAACAGTACAAGGATCATCCATGTTCCCATCCTTTATCTTTAACATACATTAATGATGTTTCTACCATTTTTATTTCACCTACCTCCCCCAAATACATTTATTATAAATTTATATGTGTTTGTATTTGTTTATGCTCGTGCATTTAAAGATAGTGTGGGTAATAAGTATTTATTTAGGCATGATCCCTGCTGATCCGAAAGCTTTATCAGGGGCTGGAACTTCCTTGGAGATAAAATAACACTCTATAAACTGCTCTCCATGTAGGAAGGAAGAACTCCATTCTAGATGTTCAAATGCTGTGCAAGGGGTCACTCAATCCCTAAGATTGTGTCACCTTTTATGACCTCTGTTAATCTCTGGTTCTTCATGTGGATAATCAACTTTGTCAGAGACCCATAAATTTCACTCAAAACTCGTTTTTGCCTGTCACCAAGTAGACTGGTCAAAGAATCTTTTCTCCCTACCTTGCCCCACCCACTGCCATCTGCTTGTTTAGGAAATTAAAACTTACTCTTGTTGTAGCCTGAGACTAACAGAAAAGAACAAACATGCACATCTGTGGTCTAAAAATGTCACATGATTTTACTACAAATCAAAGAAAAATGTTTGGAGTGGGAGAAATTTTTCCACCATGAATAATGAATAATTCATGAATAATTATGAGCTTTTTTTCTACCTCTAGGAATTAGGGACAGGGTAAGGAAAGGATTGGGCAGGGCTCTTATTTTTCATTTTAACCCTTTTAGTAGTGCTTGACTTTTTTTTAAAAATGTTTTTTTATTTTACTGCTTGACTTTTTAAACTATGTATAACTGTAATGTTTAAAAAAAAAAAAAAAGAAGAAGAAGAAGAACAGGCTCCAGTTCTCAAGGAACTAAGTGGCTGGTATTAAAAGAGTAAGGCAGAATAAGAAACAAAAGGAAAACAAACGAACAGCGAAGAGAATAAAAGAGTAAGGCAGCAAGTAAACCCTGAGGTTTATTTTATTTTATTTTTTAAAAATATATCTTTATTAATTTCAGAGAGAGGAAGAGGGAGAGAGAGAGAGAGAAACATCAATGAGTCATTGATCAGCTGCCTCCTGCATGCCCCCTGCTGGGGATGGTGCCTGCCACCCAGGCACTTGCCCTGACTGGGAACAGAACAGAGATCTTCTGGATCCTAGGCCGGCTCAACGGCTGAGCCACCCCAGGCCAGGCAAACCCTGAGGTTTAAATATGAAAACAAACGAATCTGTTTTGTTTTTTTAAAAAAGAATCACCTATCTCTTCCTTTTTTTTTTTTTTTTAATCCTCACCCAAGGATATGTTTTTATTGATTTTTAGAGAGAGGAGAGAGAGAGAAATATCAAAGTGAGGGAGAAAAATCCATCGGTTGCCTCCGATAGGGGTCTCCGGACTGGGATCGAACACACAACCTAGGTATGTGCCCTGACTGGAAACTGAACCTGCAACCCTTTAGGCAACAAACGTGTTTTTCCAAATGTATTGCAAACACTTGAGGTTACAGGCTAAACACTTGAGGTTACTTCCCAAGTTATCCCTCACTCTCTTAGGCACATATTTTGTATTCCGTAAACTTTTCCGAAATGAACCTCATTTTGCCTGTGGCTTTAGGCAAATACTTTCACTTTTCTGTATCTTCTACTTTATATATTTATTTTTTGTTAATCCATTGCTTTTTGTTTGTTTGTTTTTTGTTTTTTTTTTTTAGAGAGTGTGGATGGGAGAGAGGAAGGGGGTCAAAGAGAAAGACAGAAACATGATGTGAGAGAGACACACTGATTGGTTGCCTCCTGCACCCACTCCCACCAGGGTGGTTTCAAACCTGCAACCCAGGTATGCGCCCTTGGCTGGGAATCGAACCCCTCCTTAGGGGTGAGGGCCGACACTCTAACCACTGAGCCACACCGGTCAGGGCTGTATCTTCTATTTCAGAAAAGTTTTTTAAAATTGATTTTAGGAAGCCCTGTCTGCGTGGCTCAGCAGCTGAGCATCAACCCAGGATCCAGAAGATCGCAGTTCGATTCCCGGTCAGGGCACATGCGGGTTGCGGGTTCGATCCCAGACGGGGGCGGGCAGGCAGCAGCCAAACAATGACTCTCTCATCATTGATGTTTCTAGCCCTCTCTCTCTTCCTTCCTCTCTCTGAAATCAATAAAGACACTTTTTTAAAAAAAAAAAAAATTGATTTGAGGGCACGCGCGAGAGAAATATCGATTTGCTGTTCCACTTATGCATTCACCGGTTGCTTCTTGTATGTGCCCTGACCAGAGATCGAACCCGCAACCTTGGCGTGTAGGGACGACGCTCTAACCAACTGACAACAAACAGGCCACGGCTGTATCTTATACTTTTTAACATAACAAATAAGGATGATAAATCGTACATACCCTTAGATATTGATTTTTTGGGGGGTGTGGGGGAGTGAGGATCAAAATGATCACAGGCCAGAAGGTAAAAGCGTTGGCTAAGGCACTATAAACCAATGCAACAACGTCAAGTTCCGGATCTCGGAGGCTGCAGGGGAAATTTGGGAGGTGGGGCATTAGGGTTGGGGTCCCAGACCCGACAAGATGGGAGTGATCAAAATGCAGCAGGCCACAGCTACCATTTCAGCCTGGAGACACAGGCTGATGCCCCCGGGACACAGCCCCCGGGGCCTGCTGCACTTCTCAGGGAGCAACTCGCGCCTCCACCCCCAATCCCTGCGCGCCCTCAGGGTCCATACCTGTTTAGGGTCTCAGCCCCCTCTCTCTCCAGAGGCTCCGGTCGAGGCTTCCTTTCCCCAGAGGGAGCTGGGGCAACGACGCCTCCCGCCCCACCCTCGGTTTCTTCCGCCCCTCCGACCCCCGGGCTGCGAGTTCATTGGCACCGCCACAGCTCCTCCCTCCCCGCGGGGCGGAGCGAGCGGAGCAGAAGCCGCGCCTCCTGCTCCAGCGATTGGTGGGAAACCGCAAGCACGCCCCGCCCCATATCTGAGGAGGGAGGGGTCCAATTAATAGAATAGCCCAGGACTGAAACTGCTGATTTCCGAGAACCCTCTCTGCAGCTAGGGAAATGAGACTAGCTCGGGACCGTGGAAGCGCTTGGGGCTCCAGAAGAAGAGGTGGGACCGGAATTTCTACACTTTGGGAGCGGAAGGGGAGGGCTGAAGTAATAACAAAATAATAACTCTACTGATGGTACTGTGCTAAACGCTTTAGGTTCACTGTATAGTTTTTAATTTCCACAAAACCCATTGAGCTGAAAAGCATCATCCCCTCTTTAGGAATTTTAAAAACTGAGCTTGGAGAAAGAAGTTACTAGTCAGTGATCACTGAGGCTCAAAAAATGGGAGTTTGGATTCAAAACCAAACCCTGTGACTCCAAACCCCAAACTTTAAAATTCTGACATTTTATAGCACTGCCTTCTTCCCCATAACAAGTCAGAGATTTGGATTCTGCACACAGCTTGTCAGACTATTAGATTTATTAGTTCTGTGTTTACCACCTCTTATATTCCAAAACTCCAGTTCCTAGGATCTAAGTAATAGTTCTTGAATGAGGACCACCCCCAATAAGGAGCTGAATTTACTTCTTCTGATACCAAAGGGGCCACAGTAGTTGTTTCTACCATATCACCCACATTTGAGGTGCTGCCCAAGCCCTCTTCGCTGGTCTCTGGAGGAGGGGTGCTTTCCTCTTTCTCACGGTAATACTGGATCAGTCGTTCAACCCCAGCTTTCACTGCAGGTTTAAGTGCAGCGGTGATCACAAGTCCCATGGGCCCCCCTGACAGTCCAGCTGCATTTATTAGAAGGTCATAACCCAGATCCATGACACCATCTTTGCCTCGTTCCTTGGCCTTGTCCAAGCAGTTCTGAGTAGCATAATACAAAGCTGTGCCCAGGTTGTAGTAGGTTCCCACTCCTGGCAACAACTTGACTACATCGTGCACACCCTGCTCCTGTTTATACTCGCAATCCTTGATGGTAAGGGAGCGTCGGGCCCTTTCTGGGCCTAGCTGTTCCCTGGCCAACAGCTGCAGAGCAGAGGCCAGGGCATCCACTGACACTCCCCTCTCTGTGTTTCTGCCTTTCTCTAGCCCTTGAAGATATTGGGTGAGGGTCTGTGTAGCATATATACCCCCCTGGCGGTAGAGTTGAAGCTGCAGGGCCTGCACATCAGCATGGCAGCCAGCTTCCTTTAGGGCAATCATCAGTGACAGGCCTACCAGGTACTTGGGTAGAGGGGCCATATAGGTAAAGCCAGGCAGGGATTTTGGGAGCAGGGTCTGGCAGGGCAAGGGGCCTGAGGTGGGTGGCAAGAATTCCAAGGATGAGGGAAGTTGCATCAGGATATTTGTCTGGTTTCCATATGGAATGGCATCAACAGGGTGCAGCAGGAAGTAGCAACAAAGCAGCAGCTCAAGTAGTATGATGAGTCTGAGGCGACACATGTCTCACTGGACACTGGAGAGGGAAAAACCAGAAACATAGTTTCCTTAAGGGATGTGGTCTGAAAGAGCCCAGGACTCAGGGCACACCTCATCCAACTACTTTAAGCTTCTGTTCTTTTAAGGTAAAGGCCTAGGAAACAGGAAATGCAACTCAATTGTTTGCACTTGGCCTTCTCCATCTTCAGGTTACTAGGGACTTCCTTTGCTTTACTTCCACCCATTTATAGGGGGCCCCAAATTACTACACAGTCCAGTCACCGAGAAGTGAGACTGTCTTGATAGGTTTGGCAGCTGCTCTATTCAGTGCTGCCCACTTCTGTCCCAGGAATAAAGGACATATTTGCTATCCTCTATAATCAGTAAGAGATGTAGTCTCTGCAAATATTTGTTCATTTTTATTGGCTGCTCAAACCTTGTCCCGTTGTTGCACACTTTAACTCAATACCTAAGACCTCGTTCTTTGGCATTTTCTACAGGTCCCTGCCACGTTCCCACTTTAGCTGGTGACAGGAGCTAGGAGACCCAGAATCAGAAGAGATTAGATACATATCTACTATTTGCTCTTTCTTAGGTTTCTCTTTTCAGTTTAAAAGTTAAATTAGCAAGCTATAACAGCGTCTATTTGGGGTTTTGGTACAGGATAGATGAGAAAAGGTTAAAACACCACTCATGCTTAAAACACATTACATGCCCAGTATATAACTGAAAGAAAAGGGGAAATGGATTACAAACTAGAGACTGAGATCTACTAAGTGGAGAGAGGCAGGGCTAATACCAGTCACGTGTTTTAGTACTGGGATAAAGATAATACTTCTGTCCAAAGTGCTCTCCAAAATCTCTGCTTACCATATCCCATCCTTGAACATAGTCCGGGGAAAGGAGACTTGTCACCTAAGAGGCAATGAGTATCTGAAGCAAACCTGGACAAATTCTGGAATCAATTTCCCCATAAAGCAACTCAGAATAACAGTGGAACACTTGATAAATTATATTGTCATCATCCATAGACACTAAGAGGCTCTTCTTAACTTGGGGGTTTCTTCAGCTTTTTGCCTAATTCTTCAACATGTTCCCAAGACTCATATTTGCAGTTCTAGGGGATGCAGCAAAAACTTTGACTTGTGTCACCAGCAATATGGGAGATGGCAAACTCAATTACTATCTGAACTAACTGCTAGACCAGCCACCCCAGTGGTGTACTCACCACCATCAATACATTCCTCAGGGTGAGTAATCTGAGTGTTGGATTTATCCAAGCTCCCTTGGGGATCCCCAAAGACCCCTCGGAATGACCTTAGTATTGCCAATCCCTTCCTCCTCACTGTGCTTTTTACTCTCACCGAATGAGGGTTTCTTTCCTCCCACCCTAAAAGCTGAAGCTGCAGAACGTGGGCCCCAGTTGGCAGCCAGCCTCCCCCAGGGCCACCTCCAGAGCTAAGCTGGATAGGTACTCAGGCAGAGGGGATAAGGAGGGGGGCTATGTCCAAGAGATCCTGGCAGGTCTTGGGAGCTGGTTGGAGAGCATGTTCAGAGGATGCCCAGTTTCTATGAAAGATAGCTGGGAGGCCAGGGCCCTTTTCTGGGAATTTCCTGGTAAGGCAGCCACTGGGGACAGCAAGACACAGCACAGCCTGGATGATGATGGGTCAGCAGAAACGGCCCTGCTGGAGAGAAGCAATGCGCAGGTTGAGAAGTAGCTGAAGGGTTAAGATGAAGAGACACCAATACTGGTCAGAGATAGGAAGTGTCTTAGCCCTTGGAAACTTTAGTTACCCTAAACATAGCTTCATCCCTACCCTTCCAGGTTTCAAATGAACCTCACCTGCTCCGGAAAGAAAGAAGCCAGAGGAACGATATCATCCAAACGCGTCCTTTGCCACGGTGCTTCCCTAATTGGAATGACCCTTTTCTTGATCTTACTTTCTCTTTCACCCCAGCCAAAAATGTTGACCCCTCTGAAAACAGTGAGGCCGTAACATTCACAAATATTTATCTGCCTCTTCCAGGCTCAGGCTTGGTCAGCCTCACCTTTGCCCCATGCTGACAAACAGGCCTTCCTCTTTGTGGATACTGCTTTTCCTGATCCACGTCTCTGTCACTGAAAGGATTTCTCTAGGTCTAAACGTGGATCAGGAAAAATTCCTCTGTATCTTCTGGGGAAGCAAGGAGGTGAAAGGCAGGTTTGCCAATGACTTCTGGAGAGGAGGTCCCAAAATATTTCTTTTTCAATGGACTTATCAGGTAGAGGAATGGGAAAGTAGAACCTACCAGCAAGTCAGACCAAATCAGCAATTTTTCAGTTTTTACCTCCTTAATTCCAATGCAATAATTAAATACCACAATAGCATTACCATAATAGTACCTCTTTCTAAGCCTGCATTAAACCATAGGAATTAGGGCTTCATTTCTCATCTACAAGTCTAGATGAGAAACTACAGTCTGGAAAACAGGAAATGATGGCATATGGTGCCTCCTAAAACTGGTACAAAAGTCCACACATCTATTGTGTCATAAATGTTTCTCTCTGGTGCTATAACCCACTTCTGGCAGATAGCCAAAGGTGCCCTGGGTTATGCTACTCACTCCTCTCAGCCCAAGGAGGGGGTAAATAACAAACAAGAAGAAATCTGGGGGTAAAAAAAGGTTTCTAGGCCCTGGCAGGTAGCTCAGTTGGTTAGAGAGCCGTCCTGATACCCTAAGGTTTCAGGTTCAATCCCCAGTCAGGGAACATACAAGAGGCAACCAATGAAACCAATGAATGCATAAATAAGTAGAACAACAAATCGATGTTTTTCTCTCTCCCTCCCCCTTCATCTCTCTCTCTAAAAATAAACAACCAAATAAATAGTAAAAAATATAATAATAAGGTTTCTAGAGGAGTAAGTCTTCAGGGAACTATACATTCCTAAAATTGGGAGAAGGACCTGTTGTCTGAAATTCCTAGATCCTCTGAATTCTCCCATTTCTGACTGGAGTTCACCATCCATAAATGGACCTATTCCCACCTCCAGTTCCTTAGTCAGTGTCCTCATCCTCAATATGAAAATGCCTTGTTGTTGAATTTCCAACTCTAGTGCCTTGGAAACATCAGGGGAGAGAAACTGACTGTGTAAATGTGGTAAGGGGGAGGGAAAGTGGTGATGAGTTTGTCTCCAAGACTGAGGAGAGGAACGACAGAGGGATAAAGACAAATGCATGTGCCCCATTAGACTTCTCACCTTTGCTCCTGCCCTCATCTTCCACCTCTACATCATTTCCCACTAGTTGTCACTACTTGGGTACATTGTTTTTTCAGGGTTTTACTTATTTTTTCAATTACAGTTGACATTCAATATTATATTAATTTCAGGTGTACAGCATAGTGGTTAGACATTTATGAAACTTACGAAGTGATGCCCCGATAGGTCTAGTACCCACCTGGCACCATACTGTTATTAGAGAGATATATATATATATTTTAAATATATCTTTATTGACTTCAGAGAGAGGAAAGGAGAGGGAGAAAGAAAAACATCAATGATGAGAGAGTCACTGATCGTCTGCCTCCTGCACGCCCCCGACTGGGGATCGGGCCCGCAACCCGGGCATGTGCCCTGACCGGGAATTGAACCCCGATCTCCTGGATCCTAGGTCGATGCTCAACCGCTGAGCCACACCCGGCCGGGCTATTATTATATTATTGACTGACTGTATTTCCTGTGCTGTACTTTACATTCCTGTGACTATTTTGTAACTGTCAATTTGTACTTCTTACTCCCTTCACTTTTTTCACCCAGTCTCTCAAACCTCCTCCCATCTGGCAACCATCAGTTTGTTCTCTGCATCCATGAGTCTGTTTTTGTTTTATTTGTTCATTTATCAGTTTTATTTTAATTAACAGCATTTATTTTTTTAGAGTAGTTTTTGGTTTATAGAAAAATTGAGCAGAAAGTATAGATTGTTCCCCAAATATTCCCTCTCCACCAACCCGTTTCCCCTATTACCATCTTACATTGGTGTGATACATTTGTAACATGTATGTTATTTTTAAAAATTATTAATTTTATTATTATGTATTAACTATTACTACCTAAGTCCATAGTTTACATTAGGTTTCACATGTTTAATTCAATACCAAACACAAACCAAGCACTTTCATTCTATCTCTAGAGGCTGTGGGAAGAAAAAACCCAAGTCAGAGAAAGAAGAGAGCCCAAATGCATCCTTTACTTAGGGCTCTCTTTGATCTGAATGGCTATTTTCTGAATTTCACCTTTACCTTACCTCAGATGGAAACACAAGTGAGCCAGAAAGCTGATAGTTTTCAAGAAAAGTGAAGGACATGACAATTGCAATATTTACCCACTCCTCCTTGCCTACACTTTGTTTTCCCCTCTGCCCCATGCTGACAAACTGGCTTTTTCTCCCTTTGTAGCTCCTATTTCTTCCTCCTGCAAACTCTTGTCACCCTAAAGATTTATTCTACAGAAAAGATCTTGAGGTGAGAATGCTTTCTGTGTCTTCTGTAGGGAAAAGGCTGATGGCCTGTTTTAACCCTAATAGTTAAAATTCTCCCAAGAACACAGCAGTGTGCTTAGACAGATTGGAAGTCAGATTAACATTGGCAACTTTTAATTTTACATGGTTAATTCAATACCAAACACAAACCAAACATATTCTTCATCTGGGGCGTACTGCATCCCAACCCCACCTCAACTGCAGGAATTTGGCTCAATCTGGTGCCTAGGCGGTGACCATAGGAAAGAAAATGAGGATGGGAACATCTGGTGCCTTTTAAAAGTGGTGCAATACTCCACCCATCATGTCACAAAGTTCCCCATCTGGTGCAGAAAGCCAAAAGGAACAGATCAATAAGGAGGTACCTTCTATATTTCACTCACTCCTTTCATTTGCTAAGGGGCACTAATAACCCAAAGAGATGGTTCCTAGAAGAAGTTGAGTAAGGGAGCTACTGAGTTATACTGATAAAACTGGGAGAAGCAAGAAGTGACTGCAGAGAAGTCCAACACTGTGGTCTGAACTTCCTGGACCCTAAATCCATGGGGAAGTCCAGGACTATACTGCTTCTGTCTGGTAAGAGGAGTTTCTGGGTCCTGTATGACCCTTCCAACTCTGATTTCAACTCACCACCTAAATATTAGTCTGTCTCTACCCTTGGGCTTCTGGCTCTTCAGTCGCTCTCATCTTCATCCTCAATCTGAAACCGTTTCTTCCTTTGGATTCCTGGAGCTCCCAGCTCTGCTGCTAAGACAATGACAGAAGTGAGAAGAGGGAGAATATCTCCACATGTTAAAGGGGAAGAGGGGGGTAGCATTTATCTTCAGGATTGAAGAGTGCCAGAGGTGAGAAGAAAGAGCAGGTGCCAGACTCTCTACCTTTGCTTCTATCCTCATTTTCCTCCTGTTCTTCATCGCTGTCCAGCAGTTGTCGCTTCTTGGGTGCCACTTTCAGCTGCTCTTTCCCACCAGCAGTCTTTGCCTCTGAAATGACCATAAGAGGCATAAAATTAGGGAATGGGCCCTCATAGTCTCAAAGTACTCTATCATCCTCTAGATCAACATGGCTGGCACAGAGTAAGTACTCAATAGGTGGCCCTGCTATTACCCGCTGGAGACACCGGGCCTGCTTTCTTTTTTCGGGCTAACAAGAGGGCCCTCAGGGCTTGTGCTCGGTGTTCCTTTTGGTGCTCTTCCTCAGGGCCTTGCTCTCCAGGGGCTTTAGGGTCTAGCTCTGGCTGAAGCTTTTCCTCTTCCTCTGGTTGACTCAAAGAAGCTGCTAGCCTCCGGAGCTGGGTGGGACTTAGCTTGGCTGGAATTCGCCAGAAGGTTTCCTACAGGGACAAAGAAGTTGAAAATGAGGGATTTTTGATATTATTCATTAAATAAATACGACCCTGCACTGGTGAAGATCCAGAAGGGTTATGAACTTATTGCTTATTTACCCAATATATGCCCAATGTCTAGCATGGTGCCTGCTACATTAAGAAGCTGCCAGTAAATATAGTTAATTGAATAAATAAATGAATCCTGGGATCTAAGAAGGTGAATCAGGTATGATCCCTACCCTCATGAACTTACAATCTAATGGGAGAAGAAAAAAAATCAATGTAGTCTAACACTATAGGATTGGGGTGATATCAAGGAAATGAAACCTCAGTTGCCAAAGTGAATACTTTCACTTCAGGGGCTGAAAGTGACAGGGAATGCTTCTCTGAGGTGACAACTGAACTGACTCTTCAAGGTTGAGTGTGTGGTTGGAGACTTCCAGTAGAGGGGCTAGCATGATCACTTGGAGGTATGAAAAAGCCTACTATTTGGAGAATGGAAAGTAGTCCAGGATGGCTATATATAAGGTAGGTATGTGGGTGGTGTGGCCATGAGGATATAAAAATTGGCCAAATCTGTATCTTAGAAAGATAACTAAGGGGGAAGTGTGGAATATGGACTTAGTGCAAGAAGAAATTGGAGAGAAAGACTAGCAGAACAGGTACTGCAGCAGTCTTGGTCAGCAAAATGATATATTTTGAAATAGTACCAACACAACTTGGCTGACACTGTAATTGGTGTATTTACCTGCTCAGAGGCAGGGGGCCGAACCCCTAGCTTGCGCAACAGCTGCTGAAACTGTTCATTTTCCATTGCTTCCTCATTTTCTTCTGTCAGCGGCACCAATGGAACTGCCTGGGAGCAGCCTAGAAGAGGGTCAACAGTCATACGGTAAAGATGTGAAGAAAGAACTGGTCCTCTGTCCCACAACCAGCAGCTTCCAGTGCCCCAGTCCTCCTGAACCCATCATTTACCCACTCACCATCCTCTTCCCGATCACTTGCTACTTGAATCAGGCAGTTCTGGAGCCATAGGAGAGGAGCAGAAAAGCCTAAGGGAAGGAGGAAAACTTAACATTGACCCATATGCTGAAATCCCTCCTCCACCTGACACACCTCTGCCAGCCCAAGTCCTCACCTTCCTGATGCAGGCTTTTCTCAAGGTTTTCAGCTGATAGGACTGAGCTCCCCTGGGGGGTTTGTTCTGCTTCTGAGTCCTCCTCTTTCTCCTCACTCTCTTCTTCTGATAGGTTTTCCTCTTCTTCCAGATCTTCCTGGCAAACATCTTTCAGGGATTCCTCTCCATTAGGCTAAAATTCAATGGGGGTAGGAAATGAAAAAAGGAGACAAGAGGAAGAACTGAGTGGAGTCCTCTGGTTCCGGGTGGACCTAGTCAGAACGGCCTGAAGCAGGAAGATCCTGAGTGGGCTACTTCTAAGGAGCCCTTCAGGGGGAGTGGTCCCATGCCAGCAGAGCCAAGGTAAGATGATTACCAAGCCTGAGGGTGCCAACTTCTTCCGGCGTTTCTTGTATAGCTCCCGCCGCTCAGCTACCAGGCCCAGAGCCAGAAGTTTATCTACTATTCGGGCCCGCGAGCGTTTGGCTGTGATATTCTTCATGATATTACCCAGGATATCTATAAAGAAGGAAACTGTGAATACCCAAGAGCAGTAAAGGAAATAAATAAAGAAAATCAGAGCAGTAAAGAAAATTAGAGGAAAGAGACTAACCTGATTCACTCAAAAATGACACCACAAATATAGTAAGTGGACAGAAGGGATGGGATAAGCCTTACTTGGGAACAGGAGGCAGAGGGGAAAAAATGGAAAGAAAAGGCTCTCATCTCAGATATTCCCTGAACTTCTACCTCACTTACCATCTGAGTCCTGGAACTCCTCAAAAAGTCGCTGCAGCTCCAGCTCCTGATCTTCTGTCCACAGTACGATATGGGTTCCTTTTCTGTTTAGGAAGGTGTCAGTGGAAAAGGGGGCTGAGGCAATGAACAAAGGATTCCCCATCTCAGTTCCCTCCAGAACTTGTGCCTCTACCTTTTAAAGTCCTTGACACTGTCAGCCAATCCCAGCCGTACCAGATGGTGGATGACCTGCTTACGTGTTCGAGAAGCAGTCTTCAGGTGTGCCAAGATGGTGTCTACCACATCCTGACCTGAGGTGGAGGAGTGAGGTAGTAAAGAGAGGTCCTGGGGCCCATGCTGCCCTCCTCATAAACTTCAGATCTCAAGGCCTCATACCTTCCACATCCTTATGGGCAAAGTATAATTCTTGAAGCTGGGCCTCCTCCTCTTGGCTCCACACAGGAGGTTTACGACTAGAAGATCTAAATGGGGAAAGGGAGAGAGGGAGCATGTAGCCTGTAGGCCCTGAAAAAGGAGACTAAAGGTCTTCTCTGGTCAGTTCTAAAAGGAACAAGAAAGGCAACATAGGCACCTCAAAGGAGCTAGCCAGCAGAGGCCTAAGATGTACTTCCTTCTCCTCACTCCCTCTTAAGAACCCAAAAGTCGAACTAAGAGATTTTCCAGGTTGGGCCTATGGAGCCTGACACTGCAGGGACTGAGAGCATTATGGGAAAAAGAAAGACGCATGAAAGGAGAGGAGCTCAGACACTAAGGAAAAGAGGCCAAACATTTCTATGAATCCTCATGGTTCCCCAGAACCTTCTGGGACAGGGCACATATAGATTCTTCCTGGGGGCCACCCCACTCTCGACTGCCCCCACCCCATGAAGTGCTGGAGAAGGAGAAGGAAACTAGAGTGGACAGGAGACTTAGGCTCCAGTCCCATTCTTCCCTTGGGTGACCTTTGACAAAGCATTTCACCTTTGGGGCTTTTCTCAGCTATGAAAGGGAAAGAAAGGTTACGCTAACTGATCTGTAAGCTCTTGTGACTGTGTTACCCAACCCTACTGCCCATCCTCAAGCTCACCCGCCATCTAGGGAACCATAGCCCTCGGTCATCTCTCGAACCACAGATGTGTTCTTCCAGAACAGCAGCTCCACAAAGGCTTTTTGGTTGACTGCAGCCAATGCAAAGAACTTGCCCAGGATATATTTTGCAAAAGTCACTAGCTCCTGTGGGAAAAGGAGGCTGCTGTGAGGCCTCTGGCTAAATGTATACATAAACCGGGCCCTCTAAGTATTTTCTCTACACCTGTTCCCTGCTGCCCCCCCTCATTCAGACTCTCTCTTCTATCCCTCCCCATGCTCCCTCAACCGGACTACCTACCTCCTCACCGTTCTCTTATCTCTCAGCCCTTGACACCACTCAGTGCCCTTTATCTCCTGAAGACTACCCATTTACCCCCTTACTTTATAGGCCCCAGCAGCAGGGTCACTAAGCAGACGATTGAAAAGGCAGAAGAGTGAGAGCTGGAAAAGAAGAGCTTCCATTTTGAGGTCATGGGCCAGCCGGTGCAGCATCTTGACAATGCAGTGGTTAGTGTGGGCACTATTCTGCTGGTAGCTCCGCAGCAGCAGCATGTAGGCTCGGATGACAGTCGAGCTGGCAAAGCTGCACCAAGAAAGGGAGGGAGAGGATGTCAGCATAAGATACTGCTCATTCTCACAGCCCCACGGTCTCCATCCTGGGACCATCTCAGTCCTTTGGCTCTTACCATTTCAGGTAGTCCAGAAAATTAAATTCTTTCTCCGACACCTGGACCACTTGCAATTCTTCCTCCTCTTCTTCTTCTTCCTCTTCCTCCTCTGCCCCTCGTTCCTCTGGCCCGTGCTGCCCTATAGGAAGAGTGAGGATTGCTGAGTCTCTGGTGCTAGAGAGCTAGAAGCAAAGAGATGTGAAGGAGATGGAGACTCACGGGGAAGCGGGGCACAGAGGATTTGTTTCAGCAGCTGGATCTCTTCCTCTGGGGAAATGTCTTGAGAGCCAAACACATCTCCTTCTGGCCACACCTCTCTGGAACAGAGAGAGAAAAGGACTTTAACCAAAGGGAATTTGAATTATAATTTGAAAAGGGAGAAGAAATTTAGACTTATTTATTAGCCAGAAAGAGAATACAAACTATTACCTTAAAGAAGAAACAAAGACTCTAGGGAAATGTTTCTCATAAGCTACAGTGCAATGAATATCACATAACAACAAATGCAAACAATCTAAATATTTGACATGTGGTTGAACAAATGTACATGTCCACACAATGGTGTTTTAAATCTTTTTTTTTTTAATCCTCACCTGAAGATATGTTTGTTTTTAAAAAGTTGATTTGATAGAGAGAAAGGGAGAGAGAGAAAGAGAAAGACTGATGTGAGAGAAACATTGATTGGTTACCTCCTGTTCACACCCCAACCAGGGATCAAACCGGGAACCTGGATATATGCCCTGACCAGGAATTGAACCTTCTGGTGCACAGGATGACACTCCAACCAATTGAGCCACACCGGTCAAGGCAACAATGGTGTTCTAAGCTATTAACAATTATAGAAATATATCTGATGAGAAATGATACTCACTATATACTGAGAAATGAAAAAAATACTATAAATCAGTATGTGCAATATTTCGTTTTT